TGCGCTATCAGTTCCATAATTCAGCTGTTATATAACTGTACTACGTCTCACTAAACCCGCGCAATACAGCCAAAGTTACAGCCGTCATAAGCGAATCAGAAGATCGAACATCGTCTGCTTTTTGCTCATGTGAGCGGACACCGCCAACGCGGATTCATGCGCCGCAGAGTGATAGTGCAGAGTGCCGTTTGATTTTCTGGTTGGTATACGAGGCTGTAGCTTTGGCGTCACTGCACGGTTTTAGTGATACAGAGTATAAACCTTTCCATCGCTTATCACCCGGGCGACAAATGCCGAGTCACTGGGCTGTGGACGCAGGCGCAGCGTACGATATTTCGCAAAGGGAGCTATTGCGCGTGCTCAGAAAGCGTTCCACAGCCCAGCAAAGAAAAATGGCAGCTCGCAGACGGCGTTTATTGGAAAGGTCTATAGATAGCGCGTCGAGCAAACACCACCTATGCTCTAATTAAAGCCTGTCAACTGTCCCCTATTTATTAATGAAAGTCACCACACTCCGACGTTATCAACTTAGCGACTGAGCCTGACCTGGACGTCCGCGCAGTGACTGAGCACGAGTCCCAACCTAGCCATGCACAACGCTGAGCACTCCTGTTCAATCTGTACGTTAGCCCGGTTGTAGTATGATGGTGTCAAAATTCAAATGTGCAAGCCCTGGTGTTTCCATGCGCGTAGCATCCATTAAGGCTGCGGTCCCACCGCGGCCATCTTGAAAGGCAAGAGAACAGTTTTTAATTTATTAAAAGCAACGTATAAAAAATGAATCAATGAATGAATGAATGAATGAATCAATGAGAAATGAATGAAAAAGAACAATGGAAAGATGTTTGCTACGCAAACATCTTTCCACTGTTCTTGGGCATTTGAGGAAGCAATGTAATAGTCATAGCTAGATTATTTAACTAGATAATTAGCGACAAATTATTGCTACGGAGTTCAAAGTTTCCTCCTCTAATATTAACGATAGGGGGGGCGATAATTTTACACTACACACAAGCATGACCGCTGAAGGCAAAAGCGGTTATCCGATTGGCGAGTTTGCTTTGCCTTCTTTTATTTTTTACAGAGCTCTCGAATAAAAGCGTTGCTTTATCGTGTGGCGGCCATGTTTGTGGGCGCTGACTCAGCAAGTGAATAGACTATTGCGTCGAGGTGACCTAGATCAAGCTCCCTCTAAACCACTTTTGTTTATCTTTACGATTATCTTTCGCCCTGAGGTAAATACAAAGAAGCCTTCGTTCCTCTCCTCTCGGCCAGCACGAAGAGAGAAAGGGCGACAGATCCATTTACTCTCGATCCCATATTTCTGCAAAACGTCCATTGACACATCATATGTCAATCTTCGCCAATGTTTGCGCACGAACATTCTGTGCCCTTCAGCTTTGTCACCATGATCAAGACTTTGCAATTTTTTCCACAGGTTCCCAGCTGAGCCGTACCTTGGCAAAACACTCAGCGGTTTGATCATTTCCATAAACGTAGGCAACTTCAGTGCCACGTACCTCAGCAACCAAGACGTATCTCGCAAAGTTCCCCGGGAATCATATTGAACAGTTACCAGGGTACATGTTTTAAAAATTTTCAGACGTCTGAGGCGTTCTCTGTAGGTTCCCAGCGGAGGCGCACTTCGCCAAAAATACGCGGTCCACTGCTTCGGGGAGAGATCTTGTCAAAGGAGCCTACTTCAGCGCTACGTATCTCGGCAACCAAGACGTATCTCGCAAAGTTCCCGGGAATCATATTGAACAGTTACCAGGGTACATGTTTTAAGGATTTTCAGACGTCTGAGGCGTTCTCTGTAGGTTCCCAGCGGAGGCGCACTTCGCCAAAAAATGCGCGGTTCCCTGCCTCGGGGAGAGATCTTGTCAAAGGAGCCTACTTCAGCGCTGAATATCTCGGCAACCAAGACGTATCTCGCAAAGTTCCCCGGGAATCATATTGAACAGTTACCAGGGTACTTTTTTTAGGAACTTTCAAACGTCTGAGGTGTTTTCTGTAGGTTCCCAGCAAAGGCGCACATCGCCAAAACGTGCGCCTTTGCTGACGAGTGTAAAGTAGTCTTTCCCGTAGCACTCCTCTTCTTGTTGGAAAGATGCCTTTACGCGGCGGAAGCTACAGGTGTAATTAATTATCTCGCTGGGAACCTGGGATAATTAATATACATGAAAACTGCTTGAATATTTCGATAGCATAAATATTCTAGAATATATACCTGCGGGAACTTATTGAAATATTGAGGGGTTGCTTTATTAAGTCACTGAACGTGAAAAATAAAGCCAGATTTCAATGGCAGTCTATGGGGGAAATCACTCTTATTTCCTGGGAACCTAGAGAAAGAGTGACGAAGTGGTGAAAATTTTCCTGAAGTTATCAATCACAATGATCTCAATAATTCCGGGGGAACTTTGCGTGATTTTATTCGGATCGCTAGATCCGACTGTTTTTCAGCGATATTGCACACCTACCAAGAGAGGGCGCAAGTAGATCGTGTCCCAGAATCTTGGGGTTGGGATGGGGAAAAATCTCCTTCGTAGCGACGGAAAATAAAACGTACTGCTTTCTTTTGGACTGATTCGATTTTGTTAATATCACATTGTTTCCAGGGATTCCATATTGTTGAACCGTACTCAAGGATAGGGCGTATTAGTGTTTTATATGTTAGAAGTTTGGTTTCTTGCGGGGCAACACGAAGGGTACGTTGAAGTTAGCCGAGTTTTTTAAGTGCTTTGTTACAGGGGGAATCGATGTGTTTTGACCAAGACATGTCTTGCGAGAAAAGAAGACCAAGGTACTTGCATTTAGGAACTCCTTCTACTGTGTCGCTATTGAATGAATATGTAAATATGGAAGGAAGCATACGCTTAGAAAAGGACATTAAGACGGTTTTGCGAAAGTTTATGGTCATTCGCCAGGTCCTACACCAAGTGCAGAAGCTTGCAAATGAACTGTTAAGAAAGTTATGGTCTTCAGGGGAATTAATCGTGTGGTACAGGGCACAGTCGTCATCGTAAAGACGTATTTTAGTGGCGATGTTACGTGGTAAATCGTTGATGTGGAGCAAGAAAAGAAGCGGACCGAGAACAAAGCCTTGTGGGACACCTGATGACACCTCGACAGTAGAAGAATTGGAGGAGTTAAAACATACATATTGAGTGCGATTGGAAAGAAAACTTGATATCCACTTAACTAGGGAAGGGTTGTTTAGTATCAGATTAATTTTGTACAAAAGTTTAGAGTGATGAACGGTATCGAAGGCTTTAGACAGGTCTATGAATATCGCATCCACTTGGTTGCCGATATCGAGAGACTGAGTGATGTCGTGAGTAAATTCAGTAGGTTGTGAAATTGTACTGTAATTACGTCGAAACCCGTGTTGAAGATCACATAAAATGTTGTTAGTTTCAAGGAACACCATGATGTGTTTGTAGATTATGTGTTCTAATAATTTGCATAAATGAGATGTTAAAGAAATTGGCCTGTAATTAGTTAACGAATGTTTGTCGCCGGATTTATACAATGGAAGGACTTTTGCAAGTTTCCAAGACGAGGGAACTGCTGCGGCTGACAGGAATTTTTGAAAAATAATAGCGAGATACCGACTAGTCCAAAGAGAATACCGAACTAGAAATGAATTATGAATGTTGTCAGGGCCAGGTCTTTTTTAGTATCTAAATTTAACACCATGTTTAGCACGCCCTCATCACATACAGTTACATCCCCAAGTGTAGACTGTGAATCATTATTGAAAGGAGGAATTTCGAAATTGTCTGTTGTAAACACCGATTGGAAGTATGTATTAAACGCAGTTGCGATTGTTAGTGGGTCGCTACTGGCTACATCATTAATTGTAATAGAGTCTGAAGTAGAACTACCGGGTAAAATCGATTGCCAAAATTTGCGGGGGTTGCTTTTCATTAAATTTTGCAATGTAACTTGAAAATAGAAATCCTTCGCTGAGTTAGTTTTAAGTCGAAGTTCTTCCTTCGCTTCGTTAAACTGGGTAATCTTCTCTGGATTACCGGAACGTCTTACACGCCGGAGTCTATTGACACGACATGATAAATGCAATATTTCTCGTGATAACCAAGGAACAGAAATATTTTGTTTCTTAGTTTTGGTAGGCACGAAACGCTGGATACAGAGTTCAACCATCTGTTCAAAAAAACTAACCAGAGAATCGACATCACTGGAGAAACTTAGCTGCTCAAAGCTATCAAAGAAATAACTTAGTATGTCAGTAATTGACACATCGTCGGCGCGGTTAAAGTCGTGAAACACGGAACAAACAAAGCGCGTTTTCGGAACAGATCAAGCGATTGAAATCAAAACAGCCTTGTGATCCGATATGTTATCAACGACCTCACAATTAAAACCGCTTTCAAGAAGAGGTGAACTAATGAAAATCAAGTCCAAGACTGACGTCTGTCTAGTACACTGCTGAACCACTTGCTTCAGACCGCATGACAACGAAAAGTTTAGCAACTCTCTACATATTGATACATCGTGACCGGTAATTGATAAAGAAGACCATTAGAGTCCAGGCAGATTGAAATCACCCATGCAGATTAGGTTTGAGGAATACAAATTGTGCATGTGCATAAAGTCACATAGGACGTATGTTTGATCGATAGGGTAACCAGGCGGACGTAAACAACGCCAACTACTATGGACATACTGTCAAAGTAAAGCTTGCACCATACTGATTCAATATCGGAAGGGCCTTGAATCACAGAGAACTTAATGTCCGACCGTAAAAAAATAGCAACACCACCGCCTCTACCGCGACCTCTATCGCCTCTGATCACACAATAACCCGGTGGTGTTACTTCGGTATCGTATATGCCGACATGTAGCCATGTTTTTGTGACGCCAGCAACGTGAACGGAGTGGGAGGAAATTAATGTAAAAAAGTTGGGAAATTCGTTAATTAGGCTTCTAGCGTTAACATTCATAACACGAAGGTCTTGGCAACCACACCGGAGTCAACGAGGACCGGTAGAAGAGGCTGCAACGGAAGCCTCAGGAGTGCGTTTATTACACTTCACTAATGCGTTGGTGGCGTCATCCCAATTACCTCTGACGTTATCAATAAATACGTGGTCAAAACGAAAGCGGACACTAGAGCCATTGTTCCGAAAAGAAGCGGACGCGTCCCACATTTTTTTCCGAATTGAACGCACGTAAGGGGAGAAATCTTCCGATACACGAAACTCCAAGCCTTTAAGCATAACACAGTTCTTCAGGACACGAAGTCTTTCACGTAAATCTAACAATTTCATAATGACGGGGCGTGAACGACCGTCCTGACTTCTACCAAGTCTATGGCACCTCTCAATTTGCGGGCAATCCATTGCCAGTTTCTCCGAGAAAAACTTTGAGCCATTTGACATCAGCACTTCATTACTTTCGCTAACTTGCTCTGGGAGTCCGTGCAAGATAAGATTGTTTCTGCGGGAGCGGTTTTTTAAGTCGTCATTTCTTGACACGAGCCTATCTACCACATCAGTGAGTGATTTAAACTCAGTGAGCAAATTAGCACCTGGTGTACCAGAGTCACCAGACGTACTAGGCAAGGACTCAAGAGCAGCCACGCGCGACTCGAGAGCATCAAATCGGGAGTTTACTGATAGGTGAAATAACTTGATCTCGGCAATATCTTGAGCCAGTTTTCTCTGACCTTCGAGCAATTGGGCAAACATGTTTGCAACAGTGAGCTGGTCGCCAACATCTGCATTGTCGCCATCACTACCACTACCATCTGAAGCCGTCGAGTGCTCGGTGGTCGAATTGCGTCTAGATCGGGTGTTGGGCCCCGAGTTAGCTTGGCTAGTCTTGTTCGTTTTTGGTCCTGGTTGGACTCGACATCCCCGCTCAATATAAGGCTACTCAAGCAGCGTACTAATTCAGAGGAAACGTCAACAAAACAAAGAAGGTGGCCGTAACCATGTGGGCAAGGAAACAGCAGCAAGAGGCGGTTATCAGAACGGACACAATAAGCACTTTCAAGATTTAATACCTGCGTGAAAAACAGACAGCGATTGAGCATCGTTCCAGCGCTGCTGTCACCTTGTCCACTGAAAGCAAACCCAGCCGGAAGGCACTTTATATTCTTGTTGACTGACGTCACGATGCTTGCTCTGTCGAAGATTGGTCGATCCAGGGTGATGTCACCAGACTTGCGGAATGCCGGGAAGCATGAAGTCGGACGAGCCACCATGACTATCATCCACTTTGAAGGTAGTGCAGTCCATGCGTGTGCAAGCCGGGTCGATCACGTACTGAATGGGGGCCGACGGGACAGGGATGACCGACGTGGCATGGAAGAGACGTCCCGAAGCGTTGTCGAGCACGGAATCGGCAAGGCAGGCGAGGAACTGCGTGAAAAACAGACAGCGAATGAGCATCGTTCAGCGCTGCTGTCACTTTGCCCACTCATGATACAAACCTTAGCGTTTGAGTGTGAACGGTTAATATTTATTTGCGAATACTGCTAACCTCCTCTTGGAGGTTGAAGCAGGCGTGGTTGCACATTTCAATGGACAAGAAGGTAAACAAAGCTATATTAAAATATAGTTGAAAAGCAATTTCAGCCTTTCCACTCTGATGAAGAAGGAAGACCAGCGGAGCTGTACTATGGTGGGAATGAAGTATTTATAAATGTAAGGATTAAGGTGTGATTGAGCAATTGGTTATTTTAACGATTAAAGAATCAGACATATGGAATAATCCGGCGCTGTTATTTATTTCGTAACCGAGTGACCATGGCCTCGTAATCGCTGTGGTACACCGCCATAGGGTGTATACGCTGACGGCAGGCACGTTCTTCGGGAATACGAGGTGTATACACGTCCGATGCCTTGTCGTGGGCACCGTATGTTCGTTCAGAACTTCAGACACGCAAGCCCGAAGCGCTCAAGCATAAACGAAGTGAACCACTTTCCCTTCTGGCGTGCGATGTCAACGTTAAAGTCGCCCGTCACTATGGGAGACGTGTCGGGGATCCGGACATTTCGGTGTAGGTCGTGTCGGTGGAGGGCGTTTTGGTGCGGTCTTTTCGGTGCACGGACTTTTCGGTGCACGGACATTTCGGTGTACGGACTTTTCGGTGTGGGTCTTTTCGGTGTGCGGACATTTTGGTGCACGGAATTTTCGGTGTACGGACATTTCGGTGCACGGGAAATCAAAATCACGAGTTTTTTTTAAAAGTTTTTTTTACGTAATAAGCACTATTTTAGCTAGAAATTGTTATTTTTTCCGCACTTTATAAATGTTTAAACTTGGTCATTCATTTACAATCACTTACTGATATACCACCTGAGTGACTTTGTTAGGCGCAGTACCATGCTGTGTAAAGATTGGAGACGGTGGACATTATGGTTCGTTTGTCGGTGTCTCTTTTCCAACCTACGCATTATACTTTGTTTCAGCTTCGGTCCGAGCGCGGCCGATGTTATGAGCCAAAGGGCCAATCAAATAGCGCAAAAGAGCAGCGTCATGGCGTATTCTCTGCACTTGATAGGACTAGCCGGCGGAGGAGTACGCACAGAGAGGCGGCGAATACCGGCTGGTCCTATCAACAGCAGAGCGCACGCCGTGACGTTGTGCCTCTTTCGCTGTTTGATTGGCCCTTCGGCTCATAACATTGGCCGCGCTCGGACCGAAGCTGAAACGAAGTATAGACGCATCACTTCGTGTTTACACGTTGGTTTGATACAGACGTTTTCGGCGCCTTCTATAAAGGTGTGGGCTTTATCATTGGTAATATGTGCAGGAAAGGCCTTAACAGCAAGCTTGAGTTTGTTGAAAATTACCCGAGACATGTGATGCGACTATAGTGTGTACGTTGGAAAAGAGACACCGACAAACAAACCATAATGTCCAACGTCTCCAATCCTCGCGCAGGAGGATACTGCGCCTAACAAAGTCACTTACGTGGTATATCAGTAAGTGACTGTAAATGGATGACCAAGTCTAAACAGTTATAAAGGGCAAAGAAATGAATTTTTAGCTAAATAAATGCTTATTACGTTAAAAAAAAAAAAAAAAAAAAAAAAAAAAAAAAAAACCGCATCTCCACGTGGTGAATGGTGTTGATTGGGGCGAAGCTCTAGTGGTGCTTGTCTGCGTAGACGCTGAGCCGCATCATGCCGAGCCTTTCGTTCGTTTTCATCCATGTCACGCTGCGGTCAAATGCTCGAATGCGTATATAACCACGTTCCATACCACACATTCTCTTTCTCACATGGATGAAAACGAACCAAAGGCTCGTCATGCTGCGGCTCACCGTCTACGCAGACAAGCACCACCAGAGCTTCGCCCCAATCAACATCATTCACCACGTGGAGATGCGATTTTTTTTTGCCCTACACGAGCACGGGAGCGCGTGCTCACGTGCTCGTGAGCACGAGCACCCGACGCCGGACATCGGACGGATATACGGACATGGCTAGCCCCTAAGGAGCTTCGTCCCTAAAAAAACTTGCTATTTTGATTTTTGTGCACCGAAATGTCCGCGCATCAAAAAGTCCCACACCGAAAAGTCCGTGCACCGAAAAGTCCGTGCACCGAAAAGTCCGTACACCGAAAGGTCTGAAACGTCCGTGCACCGAAAAGTCCGCACCGAAACGTCCTACACCGAAACGCCCTACACCGTAAAGTGACGTGTCGTCACCGAGCATGACCCAGCCGAAGTCGTCCATCATGAATGCTTCAAAGTCTCTCTTGGGCGTCGCGGGGGGTAAGGGAGGGGGGAGACGTACACGACGGCGACCATCAGACCATCGCGCACCTTGACGGAAAGGCTCGACAGCTACCGCCATCCATGAGCGACGGCGGCAACTTGTGCCGACAATTTTTTGGTACCGGACATGATCCTGGGAACCTAGCCCTTAACAGCTCCGCTGTAGAAAAGAACAAACGGTACAACTCGGGTGACCAGGACCTTGAAACTTCATCAGCTCGCCTGCAACTTCTGGTATTTATAACATATTTTGCATGGTATTTTCCTTTCGACGGTCAGCCTTCTAATATGTTTAAGAACAATTCGACTGAAGGTCAATATACTTTATTCATTATTAGCGCCATCTCGTGGCGCCGGCGCGAACTATCGAGCCTCCGCGCCATCTTTAAGTCTTCTCCACCGGCCCCGCTTTGCCTGCATAGCGTTCTCCGCGAAAGTTCTTACGATGTTGTTCTCCTGGGATGTGGTGAATTTTTGGTTCAGAAAAATTAAGTAGTTCCGTTTAGAAGTACTGAAAGTACAGCAAAATTCTGGTGACCAGGAAGACTGTTCGGCATGCACAGCGTGGCAGTCAACGCAAGAAGTAGCCTCATAGGAGTATCATGAGCCGCAGTTGTCCCCGTGTTTTTATTGTTGCTGTCGTTTTGTTTACTCTGGATGCAACCGGGACAAATGTGCGAAGCAAACTTAACCGGCCATTATCACAACAATGGGGAGCTTCATATATAAAAACAATTTGACAGAGTCCGCGGCAGAAGCAGGCCGCACGGGTACTGCCATTTTATTACTCGGATAATCTGATGTGGTAAAGCGCTACAATTATTCCGATATTCGCTGTTAAAGCTTCACATTGAAAAGCAAAAACAAGCGCAATCCGTATAGTTACTTCAGTTGGCTTCTTATTTATTCATTGAGTGCGCAACAAGACACAGCAGTAAAGCGGCCTCACTTTCCCATCGCAGCGCTCTGCCCGTCACCTTAAACATGGGTCGCCAGCCATGTTTAGGGCTACGGAAGAAGGTTGGCGCAACGTCCGACAGATGGCGCGCAAATCCAAATAAGGTCGATTGATGTGTGCCCCAGAAGGACTGCTCTGTTCTGTTGTTCGTGTAAAAAAAAAAAAAAAAAGAAATGAGAAGAGCCAGTGTGACAAAGGCATGGAACTAATGCCCTTTTGAACAAAGTTCGCGTATCTCGGACCTTATCCTCGCTGTACGGCGCCTTGTTGATAGGATGAGATGGGTCTTGGTCTCCTCGCTACGAGAAGGAAACCAAGATTCCGCTTCGCTTGCGAATGATTACGACGTGGTAAAAGATTGGTGCAATCTACCGCGCGGCCTTGTAGAACTTTTGATCTGCTTATATTTTACGCGACGGTATTTTCACGTGTGGAAGAGTTGTGACAATGTCGCAAGCGACCATTTTTCCTAGATTAGTTTTTTTCGCGCAAGTATCGAAAAACCTTTAGCTATACGTAGATCGGAAGTGTTTCAGGGATACGCGATAAATGGCGCCAGTGTGCCAGTGCGTTCTTTCGTGGTTGGCGGTCGCGTGTGGTTGCAACGCTGTCGATAGCATTCAAAAGCAAACTTGTGAACCAGTCTCAACTGCCCAGGACATGCGGGTTTCTTGCGTTGGTATCTACGTGGCGATCTATGACATTGTCTTACTCCATCTCCCAGAGCTCGACAGCTGACCGTAGGTCGGGTACCGCTGTTTGACAGGACAAAAGGTTTCGCTGTCAGTTAGAAACGCGACAGAAAGGCTCGTTGACTGCGTCGAGCGTGCCATTATCGCGGGCAGTTCTGCCTTTCAACGGCTTCGCTTTTGTAGAATGTTTCCCGGTTTATCTATTCCAACCGCTCGCGTTAAAAAAGAAGAAAATTGCAAAGGCCATCGACAACTAACGGTGATAAAGCGTAAAGTGAGCCATGTCTTACAGCACGTAACCAGCTAGCTTCTCAGCGCAACATTCGGGTGCAGAGAGACTGTGGCGGGACTGCCGATCAGCAGCCTGTGGCAGGCGCGTTTGTAAAGTGGGGAGTAGGCCAAACAGTGAAAGCCAATTTCGGACGATGGTCTTATAGAGAGTGCTTAATTTTAACCTTAACAGATAAAAAAAAAAATAATTAAAGTCTTGAAGATATATATTAACGCGCTCTCTGCAGGAGAGTTATACGACCAAGGGGACACATTAAAGGAGATAATCGTCACTATAAATCAAATATTTTTTTGACTTTGTTAATAATCTTTCAATTATTTAACATAAAATGTGGTTCTAATTAGAAACGCGCTGAGCGTTATCGAAAACCACTAAATAACTAAATTTGGAGCGCGTGCGAATGGCGCCGGTGTGCTAAAATTACCACTTGTGCGACAAGGGCAAGGCAGGCGATGCGAAAACACGGAAGATAAGACTATCATTCGCGTTTTCACCCCTCCAGCCTTGAGCCTGTTGCACGTGTGGTAACTTTAGCAGACCACCGAAATTCCCACGCGCTCTAAATTTACTTATTTAGTGGTTTTCGCGATGACGATAAGCGAGTTTCTAATTGGAACCACATTTTATGTTCAATAATTAAAAGATTATTAACAAAGTCCAGGTAATGCTTCGACCGTAGCCTTCTACCGACAAAGCCTGGCAGATCGCCACGAGAAGCGGCCGCCGAAATGGAAAAGGTGGAGCGGCAGACAACGGATGAGAGGAGAGCCACGTGACTGCGCCCCGCTGCGGTGAGACGCCGAAACCCACTTCTCCCGAGCGAACAAGTGTGTTTCGGGTCCTCGCCGT